ATTATATGTAATCGTAAATGACTTGTCATTAAACTTAGAAAAGTCCTACTGAATGGAACAGAAGATTCATGATGGGCCAATATTTCCTTTTTCAAAAGCAAGCAAAAAATACATGCTGAAAACTAGATAGTCCAATAAACTTGATGTCAACTTTTAGCATAATTCTAGATTGAGTTTTAAGACAGATGGATTTAGTTGTTAGGAAAATGAAAAAACCAAACAAAATAGCAGTATTTGCTCATTAGAATGGCTAAAATTAAAAACTGACTATACCAATTTTTTGCTTGGGATATGAAAGAACTGGAACTTTCATACACTGCTATCATAATATGAAATGGGGCCAGGCTGGGCACAGTGGCTCACACCTATAATCCCAGCACTTTGGGAGGCCGAGGTGGGTGGATCATGAGGTCAGGAGTTTGAGAGCAGCTTGACCAACATGGTGAACCCCGTCTCTACTAAAAATACAAAAATTAGCTGGATGTGGTGGCGTGTACCTGTAATTCCAGATACTTGGGAGGCTGAGGCAAGAGAATCGCTTGAACCCAGTAAGCAGAGGTTGTGGTGAGCTGAGATCGGGCCACTGCACTCCAGAGTAAGACTCTGTCTCAAAAAAAAAAAAAAAGAAAGAAAGAAAGAAAAGAAATGGGGCTGGGTGCTGTGGCTCATGCCTGTAATCCCTGCACTTTGGGAGGCTGAGGAGGTGGATCGCCTGAGGTCAGGAGTTCAAGACTAGACCACACCTGTAATCCTGGCTACTTGGAAGGCTGAGACAGGAGAATTGCTTGAACCCGGGAGGCAGAGGTTGCAATGAGCTGAGGTTGTGCCACTGCACTCCAGCCTGGGCGACAAGAATAAAAAAAACTCCACCAAAAAAAAAAAAATAAGAAATGGTGCCGGGCGCAGTGGCTCAAGCCTGTAATCCCAGCACTTTGGGAGGCCGAGGCGGGTGGATCCCGAGGTCAAGAGATCGAGACCATCCTGGTCAACATGGTGAAACCCCGTCTCTACTAAAACTACAAAAAATTAGCTGGGCATGGTGGCGCGTGCCTGTAATCCCAGCTACTCAGGAGGCTGAGGCAGGAGAATTGCCTGAACCCAGGAGGCGGAGGTTGCGGTGAGCCGAGATCACGCCATTGCACTCCAGCCTGGGTAACAAGAGCGAAACTCCGTCTCAAAAAAAAATAAAATAAAAAAATAAGAAATGGTATGACCACTTTGGCAGTTTCTTAAAAAGTAAAACACCATATTCGGTGAGGATATGTGTTAGAAGATCAAAAAAACAAAACAAAACAAAAACAGATAGCTATTTTATTCCTAGCGTTTTTCACTTAAGAGATTAAGGTAAGGCCAGGTGCGGTGGCTCACACCTGTAATCCCAGCACTTTGGGGAGGCCGAGGCAGGCGGATCACGAGATCAGGAGTTCAAGACCAGCCTGACCAACGTGGTGAACCCCGTCTCTACTAAAAATATAAAAATTAGCCAGGCATGGTGGTACGTACCTGTAATCCCAGTTACTGGGGAGGCTGAGGCAGGAGAATCACTTGAACTCAGGAGGCACAGGTTGCGGTGAGCCAAGATCACGCCATTGACCTCCAGCCTGGACAACAAGAGTGAAACTCTGTCTGACAAAAAAAGAGAGAGAGAGAGAGATTAAGACAAACATTCATCCAGAGATTTGTGCATGAATGTAGAATTGTATATGAAATAACCCAAAAGTAGAAACAGTCCAAATGTTCCTAACAGGTGAATGAATGAATATGTGACATATTCATGCAAGGGAATAGAATTCTGCAATAAAAAGGAACAAAGTGCTGATGCATACAAAACATGGATGTCTCTGAAAATCATTATGCCAAACAAAAGAAGCTAGACAATAAAGTGCATGTTGTAGGATCTGATAGATATGAACATTTAGAAAATGCAGACTGGCCAGGCATGTTGGCACTCACCTATAGTCCCAGCTACCCAGGAGCCTAAGGCAGGAGGATTGCTTGAGACTAGGACTTCAGGGCCAGCCTGGGCAACATAGTGCAATGCATCTCTTTAAAACAAAAGAAAAAGAAAATGCAGGCTGGGCATGGTGGCTGACACCTATGATCCCAGTACTTTGGAAGGCCGAGGCAGTAGGATTGCTTGTTCAGGAGTTTGAAACCAGCCGGGGCAACAAAGCGAGACCCCCATATACCCTAGCCTACCACCCTATCCCTACCAAAAATTTGTTAAAAAGAATATAGACATGGTGATGTGTGCCTGTAACTACAGCTACTTGGGAAGCTGAGATGTGAGGATCACTTGAGCCGCGGAGTTCTGATGCTGCAGTGAGCTATGGTCACACCACTGTACTCTAGTATGCAAGACCTCATTTCTTAAAAGAAAATGCAGACTAATCAGTAGTGACAGAGAGCAGATTGGTGGTTGCCTTGCTTATAAAGTTTGAAGGTGACGGATGTGCTGGTGTGATCTCGGTTCGCCACAACTCTGTCTCCTAGGTTCAGTGTTTCTCCTGCCTCAGCCTCCAGAGTAGCTGGGATTACAGGCATGCGCCACCACGTCCGGCTAATTTTGTATATTTTTAGTAGAGACGAGGTTTCACCATGTTGGCCAGGCTGGTCTCGAACTCCCAGCTTCAGGTGATCCACCTGCCTTGGCCTTCCAAAGTGCTGGGATTACAGGTGTGAGCCACTGCACCCAGTTGTGGGGAGGTTTTCTCAAGGGAGCACATATAGCAGAACTTATCAAATTATGTTTTAAATATGTGCAACTGATTGTATGTCAGGCATATCCCAATAAAGTTGCTTTAAAAAAATGTTTTGAAGTCAGGACAACATAGTAAGACCCAGGCCTGCCGGTCACAGTGGGAAGCTGAGGTGGGCGAGTCACGAGGTCAGATTAAGACCAGTCTGGGTGACACCGTGAAACCCCGTCTATACTAAAAATACGAAAAATTAGCCAGGTGAGGTGGTGGGTGCCTGTAATCCCAGCTACTCAGGAGGCTAAGGCAGGAGAATCACTTGAACCTGGGAGGTGGAAGTTGCAGTAAGCCAAGGTCACCCCACTGCACTCCAGACTGGTGACAGAGCGAGACTCCGTATCAAAAAAAAAAAAAAAAAACCCAGGCCTTAGAAAAAATGAAAATTAGCTAGGCATGGTGGCACACACCTGTAGTTTTAGCTACACAAGAGGTTGAGGTGGAGGATTGCTTGAGCACAGGAGGTGGTGGCTACAGTGAGCCATGATTGCAGCACTGCACTTTAGCCTCAATGACAAAGCGAGACCCTATCTCAAAAACACAAAAAATGTTTTGAGCTTTAAAAGGAGATGAGAGTTGCAAGGAGTCAGTACTTGATCACTAAGAGCAGAGTCTCAAGCTGAGGTCATTGGGGGAATGGATAAGGTTTGCCAGGCTGGTACTTAAGTGGATTACCTTAATATTAATTTTGGTATGTGAGATATTTATCTGCTGTCTTAAATATGAAATTTAGTTTAGTTGCATTTGTAGATAGTCTCTCACCGGCACTTAGTATTTTGCACCTCAGTGTATCTGTCCTAGTGTGTTTGGTGTTGTGGGATATCAATATATTTGAAGAAAAACATTGACTAACTAGACTGCATCCTAAGAGAGAATACCAAGAGAGGACATTGGAGATGATGTAAACAATCAGACTGTCAAATCAGACTCCCAAGAATCAGAGTTCTTGTGCAATGTTCAGATTTAATGAGAATTTCAAAGATGCCAGTATTCAGGAGGCACAGATTAAGCTGAGAGAAGCCTGGGACTTGGGCACAGCTCCCTACATCTTTCATTCCACATCAGATGTGCCTTTGCTTCACAGTAACTGGTGAGGTCTCTTAAGTGAGGTATGCAGATTATCTGCGTACAGCAGAGAGAATTTAGGTTATAAACCGAATTAGCTTACTTAACATTTTGCACGGAGCCATGGCCCATAAGTTCACGGATCCTATCTTGGTTTGTTTACTAAAAGCAATCTTAAACCAGGAACATCCTGCTAAAAATAAAAGCATTTCTAGACAAGGACTCACTTTCCCCCATAACCGAGAATTAGATCTCGCTAGGCCAGTGGCTTTGCTCTCCTCCAGTCATAGCTGTCTTCAGAAGTATGCACAGCAAGTAATGCTGAAGATGGACTTGATCTGTTCTGTGTAAACACCTTTCCAACAGTCACCCAGACACAAGGAGGTCTACAGGTTGAAAGGCTGTCTCTGGCTGTTAGATGTGTTCCTCTACATAGGGTGCAGTGAAGCAGAACATCTGTTTTAGGGAGGTTGGACTTGGTGGCTTTTCCCTTATCTAGGCTTAATGTTGCAGATGTTAGGAGACCGATGGGTGAAACAGGAGGATTTTATTTAGGTGCACCAGGTCAGTGGATTCACATCGGAAAGTTGAGCAAAGGACAAAGAAAATGGGCTACTTTTTATACATTCAGGGTGACGTAGCAGCTAACACGTTTTTCAGAAGCCAGAATGAACAGTTAATAAATTTGTAACATGTCTTGTGATTTACATTACATTTGAAATACAGCATTTTGAGAAATGCATTGTACATTCTTTGGGTGTTATCTTGCCCTATGACCTTGCAGCTGGTCAGCAAGAAAAACAGGAGTCTTGAGATGCCTGGGAACTTTGCTGAGAATGTGGGGAGAATAGATAAGACAGGTTTTACAGGGAGTTAGTTAATTTTAAGCAGAGCTGAGGATTAGGTTTTATATTGAACACAATACTGTAAACTTTATTTTATTTTGCAGCAGTTACAGACTATTGCTATTATTTAATTTCCCTCTTCATAATAGGCTTTGACTCTATTAGAGTAATAGTGGTATCTGTTCTTAGGTGGTACTGTCTAGTGATTTATAGTAAAGGAAATCCATTATTTATTTTTAACTTGTTTAATTCTACTTGTTATTTTATTTGAAGTCTGATTTTTTTCTTCCTCCCAATTTTCTCAAACTCTTTGTGATCCTTTGTTATTTTTCTCCAGTTTAAGATCCTTAATGTACCCATGTCCTCTCAACTTGCTGCAAATCACTGGAACCAGCAACAGGCAGAACAAGAAGAGAGGATGAGAATGAAAAAACTCACGCTAGATATCAATGAACGGCAAGAACAAGAAGATTATCAAGGTATAAAGTCATCTCTAAGAGAACTGGAAATTTTTGATGCCTTTTAAGTATTAAAATTGTTACTTTGTCTCACCTTTTTATGTCATATTTTTCCATATTTATGCTGAGAAATTCATTTTGTATCCCACTGTCTTTATTTTTCTCTCCCTTACTTGTAAAATAACAATAATTTTCACCATATTTTCCTCTAATTCAGTTAGATTATAAACTGCTAGCTGTGTTTGCAAGCAAGATGATAATCCATTTTTAATTGCTTCACATTGCCAGCCAATTGTGCACAAATTCATTTAACAAACAGTATGCGTTGCTTGATGACAGGGATACATTCTAAGAAATGTGTCATTAGGAGGCTGGACGTGGTGGCTCAAGCCTGTAATCTCAGCACTTTGGGAGGCTGAGGTGGGTGGATCACCTGAGGTCAGGAGTTCAAGACCAGCTTGACCAACATGGTGAAACCCCATCTTAAATAAATAAATTAAGTGATTAAAAATAAAAATAAAAAAAAGAAATATGTCATTAGGTAATTTCATCATTGTGCAAGCATCACGAGTGTACTCGACAAACCTAGATGGTGTAGCCTACTACACACTTAGGCTGTATGGTCTAGCCTCTGTGAACTGATGGGGCCACCATTGTATAGGTGCTCCTTCATTGACTGAGACATGGTCACACAGCACATGATTGGATTTATCTCCTTTTGTCTATTTGGAGTCCTGGTCTTGAGGAACCTGTGTTCCTTCAGATTTGAGGAAATACTCAAATTAGGATTCTAGTTTTATGTATACATGCGCAGCATTTTTTGCTTAATTGGAATCTTACATATAGAGTCCCTGGATACTTCATAAGCTAGCGTTTTGGTATTTCTGTGGTATGCAGATTTTGGAGCCATAACATAATTGCTTACACAGCACTGTACTGAACAAACTGCTATTTGTGCAGGAGAATGTGTATAAATCAGTATGTGTGGTTTTTAATCTTTTAATCTCACTTGTAGAATGTTCTTGCGTAGTTGATACCCAGCAGTGTTTTTGTTTAAAAGAGTCTTGCTCTGTGTCACGCGTGGCTAGATGGAGGGCAGTGGCACAATTACTTTAGCCTCAAACTCCTGGGCTCAAATGATCCTGCCGCCTCTGCCTCAGTCCCTCAAGTAGCTAGGATTACAGACATGTGCCACCATAGCTGGCTAATTTTTTTTTCCTGTTTTACTTCCAGTAAAACAGAAGCAAATCTGGCTAATTTTTAATTTTTTTAGAGAGGGGATCTTGCTATGTTGCCCAGGCTCATCTTGAACTCCTGGACTCAAGCTAGGATTACAGACCTGTGCCACCATACCTGGCTGATTTTTAATTTTTTGTGGAGAGGGGATCTCGCTTTGTTGCCCAGTCTTGTTTTGAACTCTGGGCTCAAGCAGTCCTCCTGCCCCTGCATCCCAAAGTGGTAGGGTTACAGACGTGAGCCACCACACCCAGCTCCAACTTTTTTTTTTTTTTTTTTTTGAGACGGAGTCTCACTCTGTTACCAAGCTGGAGTGCAATGGCAAGATCTCAGTTCACTGCCACCTCCTTCTCCTAGGTTCAAGCAATTCTCCTGCCTCATCCTCCAGAGTAGCTGGAGCTATAGGCATACGCCACCATACCTGGCTACTTTTTGTATTTTTAGTAGAGATGGGGTTTCACCGTATTGGCCAGGCTGGTCTTGAACTCCTGACCTTGTGATCGGCCCGCCTTGGCCTCCCAGAGTGCTGGGATTACAGGCGTGAGCCACTGCACCCGGCCCAACATTCTTAATAATAATGGCTAACACTGAGTGCTTACTCTTTGGCCAGACACTGTTTTATGTACTTTTGCAAAGTGTATAATCCTCATAACTATTCTTTGAGATTATCTGCATTTTACATTGAGGGAAATTGAACCTAAAGTCCCACAGCTGGAAAGTGACAGGCTGTGATTTTAACCAGTAGTCTCGCTCTATACACTGTGCTCTTAGCTACTGCATTGCACTGCCTCTTAGGCTGTTTTACCACCTCATAAGATAGCCATGTGGTGGCCAGATTCACAGGAAAGGGAACATTGGGCATTACAGTCTTATCTCTTAAAAACGCTTTTTAAAAATTTCTTTATCATTTTAGTCTGTATAATGGCTATTTTTTCTTTAGTCAGCTCCCTGGCAGGACTATTAAACTTAATCTCCCCAACATTTCATTCACTCTGTAGGAGGAATACGTTTCTAAGAGTTAACAGCATTTTCGTTTCTGTTCCTAATTACAGAAATGTTGCAGTCTCTTGCACAGCGCCCAGCTCCAGCAAACACCAATCGTGAGAGGCGGCCTCGCTACCAGCATCCAAAAGGAGCACCTAATGCAGATCTAATCTTTAAGACTGGTGGGAGGTACAGCAGTCATTACTCCTTCCTTAGCTGTTTCTCATCATGTCCATAAGTGTAAATTAGAGATTTCTGGATTATAGTTTCTGGCAAAGCCCTAATTATTAGCAAAATAGAAAAGTCTTTGAATTGTAGATACTTGAGGGGGAAAAAAGCCTGCTTTATACTATAGTTATGGTTGTTCTGTATTTTTTCATTATTTTTTGAGACAAGGTCTTGGTCTGTTGTTGCCCAGGCTGAAGTGCAGTGGGACGATCACAGCTCACTACAGCCTCACCCTCCTTGGCTCAAGTGATCCTCCCATCTCAGCCTCCCTAGTAGCTGGGACTATAGGCATGCACCACCACACCTGGCTAATTTTTATGTCTTTTGTAGGGACAGAGTCTTGCCATGTTGCGCAGGCTGGTCTTGAACTCCTGAGCTCAAGCGATTTACCCATGTGGCTGTTCTTACAAAGACATTGGTTTTAGCTAGATGATGGCTTTCATTCTCTCTGAGTGGACTTCTTTTTTCTTTGTTTTAATAGGAGAGAGAAGTTACATCATAGGCTTTGTGTTAGAATTTCTCAGGTCAGGGTTAATTAATATCGATGTTTACAAAAACTAAAAATCTATTTGCTAGACTTGTAACCATGCAGGTAGAGTTTGTTCCTCTTTATTTATTTTTTAAGATGGAGTCTTGCTCTGTCACCCAGGCTGGAGTGCAGTGGTATGATCTCAGGTCACTACAATCTCTGCCTCCCAGGTTCAAGCGATTCTCTATCCTCAACCTCCCGACTAGCTGGGACTACAGGCACATGCCACTGCATCCGGCTAATTTTTGTATTTTTAGTAGAGACAGGGTTTTACCATGTTGGCTTGGCTGGTCTCGAACTCCTGACGTCAGGTGATATGCCCACCTCGGCCTTCCAAAGTGTTGGGATTACAGGCATGAGCTACTGTACTTGGCATGTTTTTTTTAATTATAAAATTTCCTGATGAAATTCATACCAGTTCCACTTAAAATAAGTTAAATTGTTTAATGTGAGATAATTTAAAACTCTATAATGAATTTGAAAGTTAAGTATTCCCTAATAAGACCTTTGTTATGTTTTTTAAGGGTAAGTTATTTAAAGTTTTTCTGGAATATGATCTAAAGACCATGCCATCATCAACTAATTTTGTTTTTTTCTTTTTTTGTTTTTGTTTTTGTTTTTGTTTTTGTTTTTGTTTTTTTTTTTTTTTTTTTTTTTGAGATGGAGTCTCACTCTGTGACCCAGCCTGGAGTGCAGTGGCGTGATCTCAGCTCACTGCAACCTTCACCTCTCAGGTTTAAGTGATTCTCCTACCTCAGCCTTCTGAGTAGCTGGGATTACAGGCGTGCACCACCACGCCCGGCTAATTTTTGTATTTTTAGTAGAGACATGGTTTCACCATGTTGGCCAGGCTGGTCTGGAAATCCTGACCTCAGGTGGTCCACCTACCTCAACTAATTTTGTCTAGTGGTTAAAGTGACAGTGACTTCTGCTGCCCTCACTGATTTTCACTTAGGGGAATGTGTTTACACTGAGGCTCCACAACAACCCAAGATGTCACTTTGTTGTTGGGGGCAGAGGAGCGGGTATAGATGAGGAGTGTGCGGAAGATGGCAGAACATGATTCAGGAGAGTAGTATGGGGAAAACGTATTCATCAGAACCTGTATATTTTACTCACTGAACATATTTGTGTGTTCTGGCGGCATTTGTCTTAGAGCTATTTGCTCAGATAACTCTAATCAAATTGTAATCTAGCAAATTGACTTGTCAGCCAGGCGGGGTGGCTCACGCCTGTAATCCCAGCACTTTGGGAGGCTGAGGCAGGAGAATTGCTTGAACCTGGGAGATGGAGGTTGCCATGAGCTGAGATCACTCCATTGCACTCCAGCCTGTGTGACAAAGCAAGACTCCATCTCAAAAAATAAAAAAAAGAAAAGGGAAGAAAATTGTCTTGTAAAGACAGTTTGGAGATCTCTTCTTTAGCATCCGTTGAGTATAATTTTTTAAAAAAAAATCCAAGTTAGAAATGATATACAAACCTATCTAATTAGGCATAAGGTATTAGGTTATTTTTAATTATATAAACTTTATTAAAGTCCTTTAATTAAGCCTGTTTTATTACTGCTAAAATGTAGAAACTAGCTAGGTTAACAGGCAATGAAAAATGTTCATTTCCTGCTTTTACATTTTCTTAGAGTAGCTTTAAACATATGCCACAGTGTTCTTGATAACATCTGTTCACTCCTGTCTCAGCATCAGAGACCAAAACTATTAGAATATTTGTATTTCGGTTGGTGCAAAATAATTGCTGTTTTTGCCAATAGTAATAGCAGGCCGGGCGCGGTGGCTCACGCCTGTAATCCCAGCACTTTGGGAGGCTGAGATGGGCAGATCACGAGGTCAAGATACTGAGACCATCCTGGCCAACATGGTGAAACACTGTTTCTACTAAAAAATACAAAAATTAGCTGGGCGTGTCGCACGCCTGTAGTACCAGCTACTCGGGAGGCTGAGGCAGGAGAATTGCTTGAACCCAGGAGGTGGAGGTTGCAGTGAGCCGAGATTGTGCCTCTGCACTCCAGTCTGGTAACAGAGCAAGACTCTGTCTCAAAAAAATAGCAAAAACCACAATTACTTTTGCATCAACATAATACTTTGATGTTTTCCATCATCTTCACCTGTTCATATTACAGCCTGACATCTCTGAATAGCACGTTATATTTTTTCATCCCTAATCCCTTCGCAGTTCATGTATTGCAAGTATAGTGTCTGAGTAGTTTCTGTAGACTCACTCTGGAATTGGATGACATAAGGGGTATCCAATAGGATTTACCCCCCTCATTGTGCAATCATTCAGGACTGCACTGTGGAAGACGAAGTACAAGACAGGGTCTTTACCCACCAGGTTATGGTCCAGTAGGGGAGCCAAGTACAGGTACTTGAAAGATAATTCCACTCTCTTCTACTTGAAAGATAATTCCACCCTCTTCATTTGTCTATTTAAAAAACCTTGGGTGAGAGTCTGTTCAGGACAAGACAGGAGACATGTAGGCATATATGTGCTGTCATCGATGTGCATGTGAACATAGAGGGAAGCCTTTCTTACCTAGCTATAAGGGTTAGTCACTTTTCAGAGTTCCTTCATTTTCTATTTTCCTTCCTCCCTCCAGTTCCCCCTTGGAAGAATTGGCTACACTTGCCCTTTCTCGCTCCCACTTGGGTGGCTTGCCCCTGCCAGTTCACAGCTGGCAGTGGGAGGCACTGCCCACCCCGCTGGCCACGCTAGGAAAGGAAGGTTCATTATTGACTCCTCTCCCCTTTTCAGTCCCCAAGTCTAGGCAACTTCTGCCTTCACTGGCATCCCCACCTGCCTTGTTAGCCTCATCTCAGCAGCACTTTGCATTGTAGGCCCTCCTTGTTCTCCCAATGGACCCTTCCCTGGCGTCTGTGATTCTTCTGGGTTCAGGATTTTTCCTACCCCTTGACCACTGCAGCTCCTGCTGCTGACACCGCTCCATTCTGCTCTTGCCCTGCCCAGGGATGTCTGTGTTCCTTGGGCTCAGCCAGGGCCCTCTTCTCCTTCTGCACACTCAGAGAAGGCATCATCCCTCCCAGTGGCCTGGCTGCCATCCAGGTCTCCAGCCCAGATCTCACATTTTCATTTCTAATTGTCCACTCACCTGTGACTCAGAGATGGAAACCTCCATGCCACTGTCCCAGCCCCTTTTCCCTGGGGTCTCCAGTGCAGGGAGAGGAAGCACTGTTCGCCCCCTTATCCACAGCAGAAGAGGAAGTTGTATTATTGATGGCTCCTCCTCCCTCAATTCACTGATCTAGTTCATTAGCAAATCGTCTGCATTCTGCTCCCAAATGGCCTCCACTCTTGCCTGTTTTATTTTCTGCCCACAGCCAAGACCCTGGGTCAAGCCACCATCGCCTCTTGCTTGGGTTGCTGTTGCTACCTCAGCCTCCTCCTCAGCCTCTCTGTCTTTTCTCCGCCCTTCAACCCTTTCCAATTCAGTCTCTCCCTACAGACCCAGTGTTCTTTCTAAAATACAAATTTGATGTCTATGTGAGCCCTTCCGCCTAAAATCCTCCAATGGCCGCTCATGGCTTGTAGGATAAAAAGTCGAAACCCCTCAGCTTGGTTCCAAAGGCCCTGTGATGCAGGCGGACATAGGTTAAACCAGCTTCATCTCCTGCCTTTCTTTCCCTGCTCCAGCCTAGCTGACCTTTACTTCTGTGTTCTTTCTACCTCCTCTGTGTGGAAGAGGCAGGAGAATTGCTTGAACCTGGGAGGTGGAGGGAACAGTCTCCAGCTGTTCCCCTTGGAGAACTCCTGCTCCTTCAGGTCCTGCCTTGATGTTCTCAAGTCTGACATAGGTCAGTGCAGGTCTGCTGCCATGACTTAGGGTATTTCTGTAGATCTTGTCCTCCTTAAGTACTGCCTAGCTTGTCTCTGCCCCCCATGAGATTACCAGTGATGAGAGCAGAGACTTAAGTCTCATGTTGTTTCTATTCTGTCTCCTTTATAGCTCTTGGTGCCTGGCACCTAGTAGATGCTCAGTAAATATTTGATGAATGGACAAAGGAACTTTTGACAATCTACGCTTAGTCATTTAATAAACGTTCTTACTCCAGTTCTGCTCCCTAGCTCTTCCCTGTGTTTTTCTTTTTCTTTTTTTTTGTAAGAGTCCCAGCTCTTGAGCTAGCCACTCAACCTGTTTTAAAATCTCTTGTTAAAATAGTACCTTAAAAAAGAAAACCTAACTTGTCCATTACTCTGAGGAATGGCACTCTGTAAAGTATCATGAATGGAATTTTTATAGTCAGTGCTCCTAAAGTATAGGTGTGATAAATGGTAGAATAACAGGCAAACATGGAAACATGAGATTTTTACCCTTTAGAGGACCAGATGTTCTTTGCCATTTTTAAAATTTACATTTTAAGGCAAGATGTGGTGGCTCATGCCTGTAATCCCAGCACTTAGGGAGGCCGAGGCAGGCAGATCACCTGAGGTCAGGAGTTTGAGACCAGCCTGACCAACATGGTGAAGCCCTGTCTCTACTAAAAATACAAAAATTAGCTGGGCGTGGTGACAGGCACCTATAATCCCAGCTACTCCAGAGGCTGAGGCAGGAGAATCGCTTGAACTCGGGAGGCGGAGGTTGCGGTGAGCCAAGGCCACGCCATTGCACCCCAGCCTGGGTGGCAGAGCGAGACTCTGTCTCAAAGCAAAAAAAAAAAAAAATTACATTTTAAGTGAAGAAAAGTAGTCATTTGAAAGAAACACTGTGGAGATGGACTCTCCTGGGGTTTGAGACGTCTTTATTTTCTTCTGTTTTTAACCTCAAGCCAGACTTAATTGAAATATATGTGTCTACAGCAGCGGGTTCATCAGGTGTCTTAAGTGGCAAATTCTTCCTAGTTGATGGAAGGTAAAGTCTGAGAAACTGGTTTCAGGTTGAGTCTTCACTTGGCTGGTGCCTTTTAAAAAGTTAGTTATTGGCCGGGCGTGGTGGGTGGCTCACACCTGTAATCCCAGCACTTTGGGAGGCTGAGGCAGGTGGATCACCTGATGTCAGGAGTTTGAGACCAGCCTGACCAACATGGTGAAACCCCATCTCTACTAAATACAAAAAAATAACTGGGCATGGTGGTGCATGCCTGTAATCCCGACTACTTGGGAGGCTGAGGCAGGAGAATCGTTTGAACCTGGAAGATAGAGGTTGCAGTGAGCCAAGATTACGCCATTTCACTCCAGCCTGGGCAACAAGAGCAAAACTCCATCTCAAAAAAAAGAAAATTCAGTTATTAATATTAGTGATGTTATATGGTAAAGGGAAATTTATTGGGAAACTGGTTATAAAGTATTTTACGTCCAGGTGCAGTGGCTCACACCTGTAGTCCCAGCACTTTGGGAGCTTGAGGTAGAAGGATCACTTGAGCCCAGGAGGCGGAGGCTGCAATGAGTCTGGATCACACCACTGCCACTGCACTCCAGCTTGGGCAACAGAGTCAGACCCTGTCAAAAAAAAAAAAAAAATTTACAGAAAACACTGCCAGCCTAAGAATTTCAACACATTAATACTAACAGATCTTTCTTTCCACAAAAGAAACTCAACAGCTTAATATACTTACCTTTTAATCCCTCTCCTTTAGTTTGGTGTTTACCTTATCTTTTAGCTTACCATTATTTCTCCAGCATTACTTCGTTTTTCTTTTTCTTGGGGGCTACATATTATCAGGATATTATATATAACTCTGCTTCTCTTCCAG